AACCAACTTTCCCTTCGAAATGGAGAGTCATGGCACAATATATCACGAAGGAATTCTTCAAAACCCAGTTTTTCTTCATAATACCTTGGCCAAATTTTTGCCAAAACGGTTGAGATATCACTCGTCTACTTGGCCTGGCCCATTTTTCTACTCCTTACCTTCTTAACCCACTCCCGCCCTGTCACAACATTTGATTTTTTTTATATTTCACCTATTAAGAGATGTACCTTTTATGGCGAGTTTAGTGTGGCGTCATCACACATTCTGTTTACCTTGCCTCTCTCATTTCCTCTCTAAATACTGATCTGACTCGAGCATTTTATCCCGATCTTTTTCATAGTCCTGCAGATGCGTTTCTTATCTTTCTGAGTGACCGATTTCACTCGGTTCCAGTCCCAGTGTATTCCAGGCGCTATTTCTTAAGCCTTTAGAAGCACGTACATGGTCGCCTCACCGAGCAGAGCGTTTAGACTCTGATTTTCATGCTTGCAGATACTATTGCTTGGACTTTCATTTCGTATGAATGTGTATGAAAAAGAGATTCGTATGTCGATCTCACCAGAAGAGGACGGTTGAATCCCGTTGTACTGCAGCCGTTTGACTGTTAGACGACGTTGAGATTGACGTATTCCACGAGACCTCCCTCATTATATGCTCGACGTAAGCTCAACCCGTTTTCACCCGAAAAGAGGGAGGAGGTCTCGTGGACTGAACCAATCCCACCGTCGTTTAAAAGCCAAATGGCTGCAGTACAACGAGATTCAACCATCCTCTTCTGTTGAGATCGACCTTCCAATATCTGCTTCATGCACTTTCAGACGAAATAAAAGTCCCCCCAACAATGTTATCTGAGGATATTATCAAAAACCAATAACTCTTCATATTTGCAGATATTAGGCATTGCTTTCACGTGTCGCCTCTTTGATTAAACCCATGTACACTGATCAAACGGTGGATGTATATACCTGGTCGTCTGCTGCATCTCGAGTAGATTTCCAATCAATTCGGCCATAATGCCGAATTCCTGTGACGGTTTTGACTGCCAAG